ACAACTGAATCAAACTTTTGAACAAATGGACTTAATACAGTAGACATCTACAGAGTGTTCCAACAACAGAATATACATGCGTCTCAGCATCACATGTAACTTTCTCTAAAAGAGATCACAAATGGGCCCATAAAGCATGCTTAAATAAATGCAAAAGAATTTTAATTTTCTTACATATTTTATGAGATTAGTCCAACGAATTTAAATCTCAAAATGGCAAAAGAAACCATAGAAATTATGCAAGCATATGTAGATTAAATACCAAACTCTTGGAATAATCAGTGGGTCACGGAAGAAATTAAGGAAGAAACTAGACTATTCCTAGAATTAAATGATAATGCCCATATAACATACCAGAACCTATGGAACACAATAAAAGCATTCTTAAAAGCAGTTTATAGGGGGTGAAGGGAGGGCAGAGGTAAGGGGAAATAATGAGAATCAAGACTTGTCATGTAGAGGTACAAGATCCCAACAATGAATGTAACTGTACTGTATCCCTAAAATGTACCAATAAACTCAGTTAAAGCTGAAAAAAAAAAAAGCAGTTTATAGCTGTGAATGCCCACATCAAAAAGAAACAGAATGAGGGCCAGGGATTTAGCTCAGTGGCGCTGGCACCTGTCTCCTAAGCACAAGGTCCTGGGTTCGATCCATGGTACCAAAAAAACAAAACAAACAATCAAAAACCAGAATGAGCCTAAATAAATAACCTAATAATCCACCTTAAGGTACTACAAATACAAGAACCCAAATCCAAAGCTAGAACAAGGAAGAAAACTTTAAGGATCAGAGCAGATGGTAATACTAAACAACAACAAAACAAAGAAGCAATGAATCAAAGAGCTGGTTCTTCCAAAGAATAAACAAAATAGACAAACTTTTAGCCATATTACCAAAACAAGGAAAGAAATGAAAAAGGCATATCATAATAGGTACTGCTGAAATCCTTAAAGATTATTAATAACTACTTCACATACCTGTACGTCAATACATTGGAGAATTCAGAAGAAATGGATAGATTCCTAATACACATGAGTACTAAAACTGAACCAAGGCGAGCATGGTGGCGCACACCTGTAATCCCAGCACTCAGGAAGCTGAGGCAGGAGGATCACTGCATGTTCGAGATCAGTCTGGGCTACACAGTGAGTTCGAGGGCAGTCTCAACGACATAGTGAGACCCTGTCTCAAAATAAATAAATAAAACTGAACCAAGAATTAAAAAACCCCAAATAATCCAAAGCCAGGTAATGAAATTGAGGCAGTAATAAAAAACCTACCAACTGAGAAAATCATAGGATTTGATGGATTCACCAGTGAATTCTAGAAGAACTTCAAGGAGGTTATTATGCCAATACTCCTCAAACTCTTTAATGAAATTTAAAGGGAAGGAATACTACCAAATCATTCCTGGAAGCTAACATTACTTTGATTTCAAAACCAGACAAGGACTTAAAAAAAAAGAAAACTACAGGCCAATTTCCCTAATGAACACACATGAAAAGATCCTCAATAAGACACTGGATGCAAACAGGATGCAACAATTCACTAAAAAAAATCATACATTTATGATCAAATAGTTTCATCCTAGGGATGTTAGGAAGGTTTAACACACAAGTCAATAAATCGCATACATAAACATATCACATAAATAGAACCAAGTACAAAAAAAAAATCACATGATCATCTCAACAGATCCAGAAAAAGTCTTTGGCAAAATCCAATATCCACCCACAATAAAAACCCTGAAGAAAATAGGTAAGAAGAATCTTATCTCTCTCCCTGATAAAAGCCATTTACGACATACCTAATGTTAACATCATATTAAATGGGGAAAATGGAAAGCTTTCCCTCTAAATTCAGGATCAAGACAAGGATGTCCCACGCCTCCTGATCAATACAGTATTCAAAACTGTACCCAGAACAATAGGCATGAGATATATAAAAGGAAGGAGTTAAACGATCCTTTGCGAAAATTCCACCAAAAAGACTCATAAAACTAATAAATGCAACAAATCAGCAGAATACAAAATCAACATACAAAATCAACAGCCTTCCTATATACCAATAATGAACCCACAGAAAGAAACTAGAAAAATGCTATTCACAGTAGCTTTAAGAAAGATTACTTAGGAATTAACCTAACAATACAAAAGATGTCTACAATGAAAACTACAGTCCCCTGAAAAAGGAGAATAGAAAGGACATAAGAAAATGGAAAGACATCTCCTGCTCTTGGACAGGCAGAACTAGTATTGTCAAATGGATGTACTATCAAAACTGATATATAGATATAATGCAATCCCAATCAAAGTACCAATAGTATTTCTTCTAGAACTAGAGAAAACAATCCTATAATTCATATGGTATTAGAAGAGATCCAGAAAAGCAAAAGCAATCCTGAACAAAACAACAAAGCAGAAAGCATCACAATGACAAATTTCAACTTATAAAACTACAGTGATAAAAACAGTGTGGTACTGGCACAAACACAGACATATGCATCAAAAGAACAGAACAGAGGATGCAGACACAATCTCAGGTATATTTAGGTATCTGATCTTTAAAAAAAAAGGGTCCCCCCCAAAAAACCAGTGTGGAAAAGCTGCTTTTTAACAAATAGTGCTGGAAAAACTGTCTGTACATATGCAGAAGATTCAATATGGATTGCTATTTCTTACCATACACTAAACTCAAATAAAAATGGACAAAAGATCTAAATATTAAAACAGAAACAATCTGGCCGGGCATGGCGGTGCATGCCTGTAATCCCAGCACTTGGGAGGCTGAGGCAGGAGGGTTGCTGAGAGTTCGAGACCAGCCTGGGCTACATAGTGAGTTCCAGGTCAATCTCAACTACATAGTGAGATCCTGTCTCAAAAAACCAACCAACCAACCAAACAAACAAACAAAAAAACAAACAATCTGCTGGAAGATAAAATAAGTAAAACTCTTGAAAACAAAGGCATAGGCAAGAACTTTCTGAACAGAACCCCAATTGCATAAGATATACCAAGAATCAACAAGTGGGATTATATCAAATTTAAAAGTTTCTGCACAGCAAAGGAAATAACCAACAGAGTGAAGAAACAACCTACAGAATGAGGAAAAAACTGTCAGTTACTCCGTGAAGAGGACTAGAATATACTAAGAACTCAAAATAATTACATCCCAGTGCTGGGTTCTCCCACCTGCCTTGCAAGCACAAGGTTCCCAGTTCGATACGCGGTACAAAAAAAAAAAAAAAAAAAAAAAAAACCCCCAGACCCAATCAAAAAATAGGCATTTGAAACAATAGACAATTATCCGAAATGCAAATGGCCAATAAATACAAAAAAAAGGCTCTTGGGAGGTTGAAGCAGGAGGATCACTCTGAATTCGAGACCAGCCTAGGCTACATAGTAAGTTCAAGACTAGTCTGAACCACATAGTAAGAATCTGTCTCAAAAAAACAATCAACAGACAAAAACAACACAGAGGTTCTACCTTACTCCAGAAAGAATGCCTACCATCAAGAAATTAAATAACAAATGCTGATGAGGCTGTGGAAAAAAGCAAATCCTTTTATATTATCGGTAGGAAGGTAAATTAGTATACCCACTATGGAAATACCTCTAAAAATTAAAAAGAGCCAGCCACGGTGGTGCATATCTGTAATCCCAGGACTCCCCAGTACTCAGAGGATTGTCACTAGTTCAAGGCCAACCTGGGCTACTTAGTAATCAAGGCCAGCGGTGAACTACATAGCAAGAACTGGTCTCAAAACAAAACAAAAACCAGAAATTCCATCTGACCCAGCTATTCCACGTCTAGCTATCTTCTCAAAAGTTAATGACATCATATTGCAATAATACATAACCATGTATCATACAATGAAGCATAACCATGCTTACAGCCGCACAATCATAATATAGGAAGTGGGCTATATGTTCATCAAGAGATGAACAGATAAAGAAAACATGGTATCTCTACACAGTAGAGTACTATCTGCTATAAAGAAGGATAAATTTGAATTATTTGTAGGAAAATGGATGCACCTTGAGACCATAATGTTATATGAAAAATCCAAAGGATAAATAAAGAGCAAAATAAATACAGGAAGCAGGGAAACAGATCTTTTGCAAATGAGAAGGGGACCAGGAGATAAAGGGAGGGGGAAGAAAGAGGAGAGGAAGGAGATGCAAAAAGAAATAAGATGTGTTATGTACCCACCCCTTCATAAATGCAATCATTATGTACTATAAACATATACTAATAAAAATAAAAAAGAGAAGCAGCAGCATATAACTTTGGTTCTTAAAAGGGTGAAATTTCTGATGGAATATCACTGCATATATAACTATACCTTTATAATACAGTCAATTTCAGTACAGATTGAGCACTGCTAATCTGAAATCCAAAATCTGAAACTTTTTTTAGCACCAACATGACTCTCAGAAAGTTGTGAAAATAAATAAGATCTAATGGTATAGCTCAGTGGTAGAACGTTTATCTAAGGCCCTAAGTTCAAACTTCAACATAAAAAAAAATTCAAATTTTGGATTTTGTTTAACTAGTAAAGTCTATGTACATATTTTAAATATAAAAAACCTGGACACTTCTGGTCCTGACCATTTCAGATTAAGGGACACTCAACCTCTACTATAGGTTTCCTTTCACTTACTGGCCACTTCTGACAGATTTAATGACTCAGAGCAAAAGCTACCCTTTAGAAGACAACAGCCTTTCCCACATAGAGGATGGAGGATACTCCTTGTACACTGGCCTGCTAGTATAAAAAAATCCCCAAAAGGAGTGTCATGTGTGACTCTGAATATAACTGCTCCAAGAACAGTTATCATGGGCTGGAATCATAAAAGAGGTATGGTGGAGAAGAAAGAATGGAAGGAAAGACTCACATTGGGAGGTTTGCTGTTTTCTGAAATTTAGATGTTGTTCCAATTCCACATTGATTCAGGACTTCACCATGTCTGAAAAAGGACTTTGAAGATACTCACCTCTGACCTGGGTACCCCTCAGAGTATTTGTTATTTAAACAGGAGCCAAGGGCCTCCAGAACTGCACGGCTGGCAAAATTCTCTGAGGCAATCAGCTCTAATCCCACTCGCTGCCGGTTACTCTCCTTCTTAATGATGTTGTACACCTTACAGAAAGAAAACAGAGGCTGAACATTGGTATACTTTGGTTTAAAATTCTGTTCTGATCAAAGTCATAATCTCCCTGTAATCTCAGCACTCTGGGAAACTGAGGCAAGAGGACTGCAAGTTTGAGACCAGGGCAATTTTGTGAAACACTGTCTCAAAATAAAAAGAGGTTAGGGTTCTACCTTATTATGAAGACCCTTTCCACTACGTTTTGCCCTCCAAAAATAGAACATAATCTCCTAAAGAGAAAAAACACGATTATAGGTTAAGGTTGTGCTCTTAGAAGCTGAATAGAGCCCAAATAAGCAAGAAGACTCCTGAGGCAGAATAAATCTTCCTCAAAAGCTTTAACATTTGAAAATGAATTAGTAAGAGAAAATGAATGTAGAAAAAATGATTTAAGAGAAAATTACATTTCCCACCTAACTTAATTCTACACCAACTTGTTATTTTTATTCCTACATTTCACCAAGCATTTTGGATTTCAAATGCTTAACCAGTAAAGTCTATGTACATATTCCAAATTGGAAAAGTCCCCCTTCCTCAATCTTATTCACTGTTCCTTTTCTTTTAGGAAAAAGATGTTTTGACAAATTCAGAGAAACAAAAAGTAAATCAGTGGTTGCCCAGGGGTAGGCATTTTGTGAAGGGTTTCGGTGATCCCCAATAGGCTCTTGGATATAAAAGTGTTCTGAAATTGTGAATATGCATATTCCCTGACTTAAGATGATTTGACTTTACAATAGTTGGAAAGTGATACACATTCAGTAGAAACTATACTTTAAAGTGTTAATTTGGGTATTTCCTGGGCCAGAGACACATGGTACTATCTTCTCTGATACTGGACAGTGGCATTGAGCCATAGCTCCCAGTCAACCCTGAAGTCATGGGGGAAAACAATGTGTTCTGCATTGCTAGGCCAGGATGCACGGTAGGTTGGGTGTACTCTGCATTTTTGGCTGAATCATATTTTCAACTTACTATAGGCTTATTAGGATGTAATTACATAACTCAAGGAACATCTGTGCTAAACACCACTGAATTATATAGAGTGAACAATATCTCAAAAAAGCTGTTATGAAAATAAATAAAATTGCTTCCAGTTATCTAAATAGATATATTCCCTGTGAACTGTAAGAAGATCAACTACAAACAACATCTCCCTCTCCCTTTCTTCCAGAGCACCCAGCATAATGCTCTGCACTTTGTAGGGACTCAGAAACATCTACATTTACCTTCAAAGGACTTTTAGATTTTCTCACTATTGTTTCTCAATCTGGTACTTTTTTTTTGCAGTGCTGGGGAAGGAACCCAGGGCCTCTCACATGACAGGCAAGTGCTTTACCATTGAGCTATATCCCCAGCTCTACAAGCTAGCACTAAATATACTGCACACAGTGATTGCAAGGCAGTCCATAACAAAATTAATTCATGATTAGAACTAAAGATTAGGAGCAAGGGGTGTAGCTCAGTAGTACAGCACTTTCCTAGCATGAGGCCCTGGGTAAAATCCACAACACTGAAAAAACAAAAAACAAAAAACTAGAGATTTAAACAAAGGTCTCTGAGGTGAACATACATGTGAAGACCCCACAAATCTTACCTCGATGTCACTGTCCTTGAGGGGCTGTGCCAGCATAGTTTCATGGGAGGACCACAGGGCAACATCCTTGTGGGATCCGTTGACTGGAGTCGCCATCACACTGTTTCAAAGCTGCCTAAAAAATGAGAAAAGCATTCCAGTGATATATTCAGTGATATATCACTGGCTTCCGGTAATAAATTTAGGCAAAGCTTGTAGCAACCTGTAAGTTCTCCTGTGTTGCTATAGTGCTGGCCCGCTATTTTAGCCTTTCCTGCAGAACTGCTTGGTAAACATAAGCATAATCTATTGCAAAACCACCATGTAGAACATCTAGTTTCTTTCTGACTTTGGACCTGACCCTCTTCTCCCCAGGCCTGTCCACTCCCAAGCCCTCCTTCCTTCCCTGAGTCAGGGGGTAACCTACAGTGAGTCCAGCTCAGCCTCCTTACCATTCAGCTTCTCCTAGTACAGCTTATCCCCCAACTAAACTAAGTTCCTGAAGCTAGGACTAAGTGTTCCTTTTTAAAAAACCTCCCAAAGTACCCAGTATAGTATTTATAAAAAAGTAATATTGCCAAATGACCAAACAGATGAATTGCTGAATTAAAACAATTCTGGCAACAGGCAACTGGTAAATTCTTTTAAAAGGGCAAAAAAAATTTAGCAACTTTTCAGGAGATTTTTCTGGGCAGGTACACAAATTAACAAAGAACAGAATACAAGCAATTGGATTCTTTCTCCATGATGTCCATCAGCATCATTTTGTAACTTTTAAGCATAGCAGATAGTAACTCTACATTCAGTCTGGACACATTTCTGCCAGACTCCAGAAGAGCATACCTGAAGTTTTGCTGTAAGAAACACCTCTAGGAATTGAATATGGTACTGTTTCATTGTAATCCCAGCACCAATCTCTTATGTTCATTTTTTTCATGTTTCCAGCAATGAAAACAAGGTTCAGAAAAGTAGTATTCTATCTTAGTTCAGGGCTGCACAGCAGGCTGGCCATGGAGGTAGGACTCAGAACCCCAAAGCACACAGCATGGATGTATTATAAACCATCCTATAAGAATCACAGGTCAGCATATCTGTATTTCTATCAGAAAAGCACAGCCCATGAAAATATAGCTGACTAGAAAAAAAAAAACTTCAAATTTATTTCTACAAAGAACTAGAATTTTGTGATCGGTGTCATTTTTCCTACTATGAAAGTTCAAAGATTTACAGGAACTGCCTTCCCTTAATTAACAGTTGTCAGCTTTTTTGTACTTTTCCACTATTTTGGTTGAATTTTCAGGTAAACATTTGCTGAGGACCTTCCATGTGCCACCACTATGTTTGATACCATGGTGAACAAATGTGCCAAGTCATACCTTTTGGGGCTTCCTTGGGGGGAGTTACTAGACCACAGGCAACAGAAAAAGAATATAAGGTCAAAGCTGTTAAAGAACAGGGCAATGACAGGCTGGGGATTTAGCTCAGTAGCACCCTGCCTGCCCTGCAAGCACAAGGTCCTGAGTTTGATCCCAGGAACTGCAAAAAGAACCCCAAAACAACAACAACAAAAACCAAAAAACAACAACAACAAAACAACAAAGCAGGATGCTGGAGATGGGGAGGCAGTAAGAAAAAAGCTCCCTCAAGGTAGCTGGGCCAGGAGGCCTGTTTGAGGATATCCAGATTTAAAGGAGCCAATTAAGAGGAGACACCCCATTTTCCACGGGGTAATTTGCTAGACAAATAGAAACAATGAATAAATAATGCCTGTAATCCCAGCACTCAAGAGGCTGAGGCAAGAGGATCACCCTGAGATCAAGGCCAGCCTGAACTACACAGTGTAACCTTTTCTCAAAACAAACAAACAAAAACAGAAAAATAAACATTTAATCTAATCCTAAATCACAGGGATCATCCTTTCTCTGGCAGAGCTCAAATAAGGAACTATCAACTATCTTCAACTAGGCAATTCCTAATTAGGGCTTTCAAAGTAGTCATTGTAACATAAGCATGACATTATTAGGCATACAACCACACCTGCCAGAGGGCCTAGTGCTTGTGCTTTGGCACCAGGACCCATAGCTTCTCACTGAGCTTATACGCAGGCGTCACCAGTGCAACCCTCACAGGTGGAGACCACAAACTTGTCTCAGAGCCAAACTAGGCTCTTTGGTCCTAGAATCCCAAAGAGCAAATCTTCTCTTAAATATTAACTACTGAAGGTTAAAAAGGATTCGAAGGTGGTCAGCAATACAAAGGGGATATTTCTTTACCACAAAAGAACTAAAGTCCATGAGGGTGAGATTTCAGTCATTTGATGAAAGGCATTCAGTTCAGCTCTCCTTGGAGGGGGCAGGTCTGGACACCCCCTACCATGGACCCACTGATTCTGCTTAAGCAGAATGTGCTGCTCTTTGCCCACATACAACCCTTTTTCTGATCCATAATAATTTCTCCCCAGATTGAATTTAGGGGAATTCTCACTGAAGTACATTCTCAGCACTTTTTAAAAATTTGAGATAAAGTCTCAGACGCTAAATTTCCCAGGCTGGCTCAAATTTGTGACCTTTCTGCCTCAGCTTCCCACAGTGCTGGGATTACAGGTGCTAGTCACCATGCTTGACTTCCATGAAGCAATTCTGAGCTGCAATGATCTCCTAACGTCTGGGTGAGAGCTGTCAGTATAGCCATCTCTTGGCTCCTCACTCCAGGAGTAGGTTCCTGGTTTTCCAGCTTGGTTTTCTACCTCATTCCCATTACCATGCAGTATCAAATATCACTCACTGCCCCCTGAATCTGAATATTACTTAACTCTTATCGGTAGTAGTACATCTTTATTAATTAAATCCATAATCTCCCTGAGTCCTCAATAAGCTTTTTTCCCCCAGCCATGAAAAAGTTTGAATTTATTCAAGCAGAGCTCAAGATTCACTGTCTCAGCCAGGTGTGATGATCCAATAATGCCAGCACTCTGGATGGCAGAGACAGGAAGATCACAAGTTTTTGTTTAGCCTGGGCAATTTAATGAGACTCTGTCTCAGAAAAGGTTTGGCAATGTAGCTCAGTGAGAAGGTCCTGAATTCAATCCTCAGCACCAAAAAAAAAGTTGTTTTGTTTCAGTTAACTCTATTACATGCTAAGGCTTTTTCCTTCTTTCTTTCTTTTCTTTTTTTTTTTGGTACTGCAGATTGAAAACCACTGAGCTACAATCCTAGCCCACAGGGCATTCTTATTTATAGTAAGAAAGAAAAGATTCGAGACTATATACTTTCTAAGATGCAGAGAGAAGCCGGGTGTGGTGGCACATACCTGTAATCCCAGCACTGGAGGCTGAGGCAGGAGGATTGCTGTGAGTTCAAGACCAGCCTGGGCTACATAGTGAGTTCCAGGTCAGTCTCAACTACATAGTGAGACCCTGTCTCAAAAAACCAAAAAAAAAGGATGCAGAGAAAAGGGCCAGGGATTTCGCTCAGCGATTCCGCTGCCTGCCTCGAAAGTGCAAAGTCCCAAGAGGTTTGATCCCTGTACTCTCCCCCCGCAAAAAGATGCAGAGAGAAAAAAATAATCATTTTTATCTAATATAATATTTAGGGCAGAAAACCTCAGCATCGCAAGGCCTGGAGGTTGGCCAAAAAAACATACTTTCTGCTTTTATTTTTATATTGTAGTAAAATATACATGATATAAAATTTACCATTCTAACCATTTTTTAGTGTATGGTTCTTGGCACTAAGTGATGTTGACCACGGATGGGGGCGAACAGTGGAAAGGAGCCAAGCACACAAGATTTGGGGGTAAAACCAATCTAGGCAAGCAAACACTAAGAGCAAACCCCTAAGATGGGAAGAACTCTTGTCTTGCCAAAGGTTACAATTCAGGCTCATGTGGCTAAAGCCTGGGAAACAAACATATGTCCACCGGAGATAAGACAAGCCCCAAGGACAAGAGTAAGGAGACAACAGATTTTTATCTTGATGTTATACATTTTACAAGTTTCAAACTGCTTCCTAGAAACCTTGGAACAGAAACTAACAACTAGCAAAACCCAATGGCAGATGAACATGTCATAAGGTGGACACCTCGGATTCTCCCACTTGCAACAGTAAGAGCTACACTGAGCGAGTGGGTAATGAAGTTCACTTCTGGAAGGGTGGTGGTAATGGCACTCTGGGCTCAAACCTGCTGTGCCACTTCTTAACGTGTGGCCACAGTTACTGACATCTGTGTCTCAGGCTCTTCACATCTAACATGCAGATAATGGTATTCTGAAGCTGGCTTAAACCAGCAGGGAGACGTAAACCAGACATCAGGTCTAAAGCACTCAAAACAGTGCCAGGAACAGAACCAGTACTCCAAAATGGATGACTGTTACTAATGAACCCCAGGAGCCAGGTGCAGTGGTGCACACCTGTAATCCTAGCACTCTGGGAGGCTGAGGTGAAAGGATAAAGAGTTGGAGCCCAGCCTGGGTGCCAGACCGTGTGTGTGTGTGTGTGTGTGTGTGTGTGTGAAAGCTGGGATGTATCTCAGTAGGAAGACCCTGGTTTCATTCCCCACTACAGTGGGGCGGGGTTTATAAATTAGGGAGTGTAGCGCCACCTACACTAACTTACCAGTAACACCCACTGAGCAGCCCAGCCCAATAAAGCTTACTGTAGCATCCCTGTCACTACAGTATTGCTATTTCTATTCTTTTCTTTTTGTGTGTTGCTATTTCTATACAAGCATTGTCACTCATGTGTTCCACAGTCCTCACAACTCCAGGAAGAGATCTAGACAGTAAAGTCACTTGCAAGTCAGCAGTCTCCCCAGGCCTCCTAATTCTGCCACACAAGTGGATCCAGTCAGGGGTCTGCCAACAGAATTACCCTGCTGAACACCTTCTCTGAATTCTGTTTTTTATAGAGGAAGACACAGGGTCAGAGAGCTAACGTCTCAAAGGTCACATAAGAAGAGTCAGACTCTGAACTCTGGTTTACCTTTAGTTTCAAAGCTTCTTCCCGCACACTGTACTAGATAAAAACAAAATTACCCACTTACATGTCCTCTTAAGTAAGACATCTGTTCTAAAGGATCCTAAACTAGTATTTCCAGTCCAGCAACTTCCTGACTGAAGGCAAGCACATCTGTCCGGCCGCAGCTGACCAACTGGTCACTCAACTTTCAAAACCTCAAAGAATAGGCACTGAGCCAAGAATCCTAAAGTGCATGCTTGCCTTCTAGAATCGGGCGGGGTGGGGGGGACTGCAGTCAATCTGAGAGGGAGGGGAAAAAAAAAAGCAGGAACCACAGGCATAGAGGTTGGGAGTACAAGCTTTAAGAATGGGGTCTGGCCTCTTACTGCCTCGTCTTCCTTACCTGAAACTAGGAAGAAATGCTAGCTCTTGTGTTGCAGGGTAGTCCTCAAATCAAAATGCTCAGTGAGAAAACTGCTCAGGAAAGTGGCTAATTATGCCCACAACAGGCCTTCGTATCCACGCCAAAGGCCACAGGCCACAGACCACTATCCCCAATACAACAAAGCGCCCAGAGCCGAGGCGCTGCGGCGGGCCGCCGCCCGACCCCCTCAGGCTCTCAGCGCTTAGGGCCGGCCTGCCAGTCATTCAGACAGCCTAGAAACGAGGCAAATGAGGCGGGAAAGTGAAGACACCGGAGCGCCCACGCCGCCAGTACGCTGATGTCTCCGGACCCGAGGTCACTCACCTACGGGAACGTAGCCTCACAGGTACCTGGCCACGCCTCAGTCCCAAATTACCTCAGGTCCCAAACTAACTACTTCAGGTCCCACCGGAAAGACCCAGCTGACCCGCGCCGCCACGTGACTCTCAGCAACCAGCGAACCCGAACTTGGCGCGCAGCCGCTCGCGCACCACGTGGAGCTCCACCGCGCCCTGCCTCCAGTTTGGCTCCGCCCCCAGAGGTACCCAATCAAAACGAGCGCCCAAGTAAAGCCCGCCTCCGAAGGCCCCGGTGCTATTGGCTGCGGTAGAGCAGTGGGATGGGCTGGTGCGGCTGCTGTATTTTGAGAGCTTAACGCGTGGGGCTGCAGCGGTTTGGACTCAGCGGTGGGGAGGGAGCAGGGATTTTTCCAGGAGGCAACGAAGGGTCTGTCCCAGTTAAATTGAGTGGGTGGGGTTATGGTCCAATTTTTGTTACTTATACCTAGTTTTTTTATGATCTTACTGCCGGTTAGCATGTTGCTCGTTTAAATAGGTCAAATGTGGGTTTCCTCAGACACAGTATTAGAAATCGAATCCTACACCAATCACTTTGTTTCCCCCCACTCCCGTATTGAGATGTAACCCAAGGTGCCCCACACACTGAGCTACGTCCTAGTCTGTAAGTATTTATTTATTCATTTATTTAACTTCGGAAACAGTGTAAATTGCCCAGGCTGACTTGAAACCTTGAAGTCTTCTTGCCTTAGTATTTACACAAATGAGCTGCGGTGCCTGGCTTCACTTTGCTTGGGGCGCGGGGAGCGGGTGGTAAGAGACGTAGTTAAAACACTGTGCGTCCTAAGGAGTGTTACAGGCCTCTCAGATTTGTTTGCTCTTTGCCCACCATATCAAAGGAGGCACATTATTTTGGTGGAAAGGAAAACAAGGCTTTATTCAGAGCAATCTCTGAGGAGATGGAGGGGCCTCATCGCCTAGATCATCATCTCACGGAGTGAGGGGTGTTGGGTCATTTATAGCAGGAACTGTGGAGGGAGGAATATGCAATGGGATAGTAGGTGCCCCTTCTGGACACAAACCTCTCCCTTTCTTCACTGGAGAAATGAAGCTAGATTTTGACCTCCTGGGGGCAGCACTTGCACATTCTGTCCATTCATCTGAGTTTGAGGAGAGGGGCGGGTGGCAGTTTATTCCCTAGGCCTGCAGAAGTTTGGAGAAGCAGCTTGTCTCTAACGAAAAAAATTCTAATTTTTAAAGGTTCATTAGCCATGCTGGTTGCACAAGGTCTCGATAAACACTAGTTTTTGTTAAGAATACTAGCTGGGGATGCGGATGAATCAGTGATAGTGTTTGTCAAGCATGCATGAGGCCCTGGGTTTCATCTCTTAACACTGCACACAAAAAATGAAAATGAATAAAAATGAAACCAAGGCAATGCACAGCATAGGCAAAGCACCTCGTCTGAGTCTTAGCTTTCCTGTGTAAAAGATGAGCTTCCAATGTTTCAGTCCTCAGCACTTTATATCCCTCTCGTGATATCCAGGAATTTCTGAAATGTGTCAGATGTGGCTATCTTAACAGTAAGTACATATGTGAACTCAAAACTGATCCAGGGAAAGATAGTGAGGATCCATAAGAAGTCAGAGAGGAAGCAGTGTTATTTTCATGAGTCACATGCACTGCAGTACTTATAATCAGATTTTTGTCAAATACCTTTTTTATTTTTTTCTTGTACTGTAAATTGAAACCAACACCTTTGCACTGAACTACATCCCCAGCCCCTTTTTATTTTTTATTTTTGAAACAGGCAGATAGACTTATGAGTAAATATAAAGATATAAAACTTTCAGAAGGAAATCTCCAAAATGCAGGGTTTTTGTGTTTTTATATGATACCAAAAGCATAATCTTTAAGAAAAAATCTCAAAAAATTATATTTTTTCACATTTAAAACTTTTGCTCTAACACAGGAACAAAGTCTTTGTAAATAGGGAAGGGTGGAAGGGGTGAAGGGAGGGCAGAGGATTGGGGAAAAAATAAGTACCAAGATACATCATGTAAAGGTACAAGATCCTAATGAATGCAACTGTATTATATACCTAAAATGTACCAATAAACTTCATGGGGAAAAAAATCTTTTGCTCTGTGGGAGACCCGGTTAAGAAAATGAAAATGTAAACTACCAAGGCTGGAGTTGTAGCTCAGTGTTAAGGCTAGTGCTTAGCATGCACAAGGCCCTTGGTTTGATCTCCAGCATTACCCCCCACAAAGTTACATATGGAGAGAACTTATTAGCAAATGACATATCTGAAAAAGAATTCATATTTGTAATACATAAAGCACTCGCAAAATTTAACATTAAAAAACAAGCAGTTCAATTAGAAATTGGGCAAAAGACATTGAAGTGAGGAGCAGACATCTGATAAACCCATGAAAAGGTGTTCAGCATTATTAGTCACTAAGCAAATGAAAGTGATCCTAATAAAAGTCATTACACACCTCCTGGGATGGCTTTAAAAAGAAAAAGTAGGGGGCTGGGGATAAGCTCAGGAGTAGAATGCTTGCCAGCAAACAAACAGCATTGGAAAAAAAAAGTATCAATATCAAATGCTGCAAAGATGTGGCAAAACTGGATGTCACAATTGCTGGAAGAATTTAGAAAGGTAGAGCCACTCTGAAAAAATAGTTTGTCAGTAATTTAATGAACTACACATATACTTTCCATTATGCTCCAGCAATTACATTCCTGGGCATTTATCCCAGAGAAGTGAAAATTGTCCACATAACCTATACGTGGATGTTCATGGCAGCTTTATTTGTAATAGCCAAAAACTGTAAAAACCCAAATGTTTTTCAATAAATGAATGATTAAACAAACTGGTATACCCATATATGGAATAGTACTAGTCAGCAATATAAAGAAATGAGCTATCAAGCCAGGCGTGGTGGTGCACGCCTGTAATCCCAGCACTCAGGAGGCTGAGGCAGGAGGATCGCTCTGAGTTGAGACCAGCCTGGGCTACCTAGTGAGTTCCAGGTCAGTCTCAACTGCATAGTGAGACCCTGTCTCAAAAAAACAAACAAACAAAAAGAAATGAGCTATCGATACACATAACTTGGATGGATCTCAAGAGCATTATGCATCATAAAAAAGAAAGTCAAAAGATCACACATGAGCGTGGTGGGGCACTCCTGTAATCCCAGCACAAAATCAAGATACAAAAATTACTGGGTATGGTGGTGAATCCCTGTAATTTCAGCACTCTGAGATGCTGAACCACTAGTTCAAGGCCAGCCTATGCTACACAGGGAATTCAGGGTCAGCCTGTATTACATAGTGAGGCTCTGTCTAAAACAAAAAAGTCATATGTTTATGATAATTCTATTTGTATCACATTTTTGAAATGATATAAAATCATAATTAAAGAAATTTAGAACAAATCCCTTATTGACAAGAGTTAGGGATGATGTGGGTGGGGCTGTGACTAAAAAGAGAGACAGATTTTCATACTTTTGTACTTTTTTTTTCTGATACTGGGGACTATTGAACCCAGGCCCTTCACACTGAGCTACATTCCCTTTCCTTTGTTGTTTTTTATTTTGAGACAGTCTTACTAAGCTGCTAAATTGTCTAGGCTGGGATTGAATTTAGGATCCTCCTGTCTCAGCCTCCCAGATTACAAGCATGCACCTCCATGCTCAGTTTGCTTTGTGCCTTGATTTTGATGAAAGTTATAGTGGACCCTCAAGTTACAACCAGCCTCACATACTAACAACTTGTGTTACAACTGGAATTTTAGTTTTGACTTATGTCCAAAGTCTTGAGTCAAGGCCTGAATGCCAGTCTTTCCTGTGTGGGGTTAATTGAGAAATCCTGGGCCTATGTCTCTCTTAGGACACTGAGAACTGCCTGGAAGAAAGTGTGGCCTAAAATCATAAAGGAGAGAGACTTGAAGGCTGTGTAGAGGAGCCTGAGCCTTCAATTAACCCCGTAGTTGATGACAGTCACCACAGCAGAGCACACAGGCTTGCAGGTGGACAGTGGTGATGCTGAGGAACTGGGGGAAGAACACTCAGAGGAACTGAACAGAGGAACTTCAGCAACTCCCAGCTGAGCAACAGAGAATGGCAGCTGAGGAGCTTTCCGAAGAGGAGGGGGAGTATCAACAATCAGTGCAGCAAAGTTCTTCTGAAATATAGGAAATCCTGAAAAAATGAAGAGAGCTACAAACATTTGTAGGGAAGACCCACCCAGACAGAGAAAAAGCCAATGGTTGCATTCACGTGCTTAATGACAATGTCACGCTGTACTACAGAACAGTGTTAAAGAAAAGGTAGAAACAGATCTGTTTTTAGTTCTGAAAAGATTTTAGTTCTGAGACCTAGTGAGCCAGAAGCAGGTCCTAGTGAGCTATAGACTCTTCCAAGGAGAGAAAGGACACCACAGAGCCAGATTCCTGATGTTCTTATGTTTTTGTGTGTGTAGTTGAGACTGACCTGGAACTCACTATGTAGCCCAGGCTGGTCTCGAACTCACAGTGATCCTCCTGCCTCAGCCTCCCGAGTGCTGGGATTACAGGTGTGCGCCACGACGCCCAGCTCTGATGTTCTTATGGCAGGAGACTCTCCTTCTAAACAACAATCACCTTCATTTCATCCTCGACTTCCTGCTAGCCAAGGATGTCAATTTTAATGGCGAATACAGTACGAAACTGTTGTTTCTGGTAAACTAGGCACATTTTACAACTTTTTTGTGAATACACTATGAAAATTATACGTGTTTCTGGTAAGCCATGTGCATTATATAACCCTTTTTATTATGAAAAGGATAGTTAAAGGATGCATTGGTAGGTTCGGAATGCATTATGGGTATTTCCATTAATTCTTACGGGGAAAAAAGTCTTGACTTACGATCAACTTGAGTTCAAGCAGCCCTTGCAAATAAATTGAGTTCATAAGTCAAGGGTCCACTGTACACCAGTCTGCCCATGTGATAAAATGATGCATTCATATACACACATTGTATCAATATGAATTTTCTGTTTTGATATTTAGTTAGGGAGGATGAAGTCATGGGAGTGGTGGTGAAGGGTATATAGGATTTCTCTGTACTGTCATTGCAATTCCTGTGAATCTATAATTATTTTGAAATTAAAACAATAAGCCTCAAAGGGCTCAAACAAATTCACA